GTTAACCGGTTAACCTGAGGGTCTGTGTTTGGGGAGATGGATAAAAGAAATTAATAAATAATGCTCTGAGTACTTCAACGTGAGTAGAAGAAACTCTCTAACTTCTTCCTTTCTTCTTCCTTTGCTCTCTTAATCCCGCGTCTTTAAGGAGCAACCTTCATTTTCGGAATGCTATAGTCCCATTTCCATATAAGGTATGGGACCGACGGAAAGGTCTGTCACCGCCCCGTTCTGCATGCTGCAGCGAAGTGTACCTCGCCGCGGGTGGCGATTCCGCTGCTTATATTGACTGACGTTTAAAAAAAAATCCCGTTTTCACCGTCGCTGAATGTAGTAAACACCTTTTCGGTGACGTGCACAGTTAGATTTAACGCATTTAGTTAATACGGAGACGTTATGCTGATGGAGACTTAACGTGGTTCTATTGTGAAAAGCCTGCGGGAAGTAGTTCGTAGTGGAATTGGAATTAATTGGTGTGCAAGGTGAGTCGTGCTGATAAGCTTTAATAAATAACATAAAACAATAAACCCGATCATAATCTTTTCTTAACCCTCCTCCTTCACGACTGGACCAAAATGCATGACTACTGTCTCCAACCACCAGTCAGAGAAGAACAGACACAGAGGAGGGAAGCAGCGACAGACAGAGGTACAGTAAAAGAAAAAAGGTCAGTAAGCAGGGTTTGTACATTTTATTATCAGCTGAGCTGTGATGAAAAGAAAAATACCATCAAACACCGTGAAACCGGTGAAAATGTTGAAAATGYCGTGATGAAAAAATTTTGAACATATCGCCCAGCACTACATATTGGCACAGATTGGACAAAAACACACAACTGTAGGATATGCTTGAAGTAACAAATTAATCAAAATGTAGGACATATTTTAAGCAATAAAGCTTAATGATGGTGGCACACAAAAACTACATGAGACTTGAAGAGGCTGTAAACCACAATGACAAAAAGAAAGTTATCATAGTACAAATAATAGCTACATGCAAAGCAAAAGGTGAAAGTACCAGGTCTACAGTCGCCTCGAGGGGTCGCTTCATTGCTTTGGCAGTCGACWGAGTCTTTAAATAGCAGGCAGCGAGCACATGATGGCAGTGGGCCAATGGGATTCAAGCGCATTAACATACAGGTAACAGCAAGAAGAGGTGCACCATGGAGGACAGCATTGTGGATAGGTGACAGGGGGAAAACAAAAACAAAAGAATCTGAATGTAGTATACCACATAAAACATAATATACATGCACAGTCATAAAAATGCATAAAAGGGCACATTTGATGATTGTATGTCAAAAATTAGTTCATCAGTAAAATTCGTAAAACACAGATTTATAGCAATGATATTGCAACGTACACCTTTAAATGTACACTGATAATATGTAACCAGAAATCAGAGTTGTTAATATAATCAAAAATCAGTGAAGCTGCAAACATGTAGTTTAAAATTACAAAGAGAAATTCTGGCTTCCAGAAAGCACACCAATGGAACGCACAGCAAGCACAGAACATGTTGAAATGAAAGATGGTTCGGTTTGTATGAGAGCCAGCCCAAAGCAGTGTCATAAACCAACACATGAACCATGCATCCTCTATCATAAAGCACACAGTGTAGAACTACGTTTACTGCAGAAATTTAGCTGGAATGACGGCTGGTTCTTGACTTTTGAAAGATGCAAAAAAAAGTGCTTTGGTGAACTTAAAATAAAACTGTAAACTTGCAACAAAACAAAATGCAACTGGAAGTAATTGTTGGGCTGTAAAGTGCATATTGTTCTGTTGTCATCACACATATAAGGTAAGGTAATGTCTATTTACAGGTGCTGGAGAAAAGAGTCTGGTTGATGATCAAGCCTCAGATTCAGGGGGAACAATGTGGGTTCTGTCCTGGCTGTGGAACACTGGACCAGTTCTTCACCCTCACTAGGATTCTTAAGTGGGAATGGGGATTTGACCAACCAGTCTAAAAGTGTTTTGTGGACTTGGAAAAGCCACTCACTCTGTGAGTCGGGCACTGGATAGCATGCTGCTACGGCCTATTCAGTCCCTATTCAAACAATGCAAGAGTTTGGTTCACATTGATGGCAGTATGTCAGCCACCTTCAGACTGGGAGTTGTGAAGGGCTGCCGGTTGTCACCATATCTGTTCATAACTTTAAAAGACAGAATTCTCATTGCAGCTAGGAGGCAAAGAGGTCTAATTCGATAGCCCCGGGATTCGATCTATTCGCGAACGTTGTCCTGTTGGCGTCATCGTGCTGTGATCTCCAGCTCTCACAGGAGTGGTTTGTGGCAGAGAATCAGAACCTCCAAATCTGGAGCTATGGTCTACAGTCGGAGAAGGGCGGACTGCACTCTGACACTCAAGGAGTATTCAGATCTTTGTGGAGGAGTTTAAGTATTAGGATTTTGTTAACATGTGAGGGAAGAATGGAGCGTATGATTGACAGATGGACCGGTGCAGCTAAAGATTGTCATGAAAAAATCTGATATGGGTTGCATTTGCAGTGTGAACGTAGCCTAAGAGGTCCAGGTCTCCTGTCCAAGCTACTGTCCCCGCAACTCAACTCCAGAACAAGGGGAAGTTAATGGACCGATAGATGTTTCTTTTACTAAGTATTTAATTTTAATTGACAAAACTATTTACACTTAACCTTTTTTTTTAAACCTAAAACTCACTGAGACATGTTGATGACAGAAATCTCCCAATAAAACTTAAAAGGAAAATAGAAAATTTTACATTAGTTTCGGTAACTAATAATGTATTGTATTATTTTCTGTGCAGATTTTGTTTAGCACAGAAAATAATACAATACATTATACGTTACCAAAACTAATGTAAAATTTTCTAGTTTTTTGTTTCGTTTATCTATTACAGTAGTTTTGACTGTATATATCAGTTAACTGAAGTGTATTATACTGTACAAGCTCTACAAAGTATGGAATACATCAACTCTATAGCTATAAACAACATCCATTCACAAACCTTACATGTGAATAAAAAGTAACTTTTTACTATAAAACTGAGTTGCTTATGTGCTTAATGGCATGCTCARATGCTGGACAACCTTTAAGCTTTCATGCAGTTTGAAAAATGCTTCAGCAACAGGTATTATGTACTGGTCGTATACCAGCTCTAAAGCTGTAACGAGGTAATAAAGCACATTTGGTTATAACATGCTTAATATTCATTACTCAAATGTACAGGTATGTAAACAAATGAGAGCTTGTTTCAGAGCAGGCGGTGAGATGTTGGTTCAATACAGACAAGAGGCTTTATAACTGAGCAAGATTTTAACAATCCTTGAGCTGAGGAACAAGTTAGCCTAAAGGTATCCCTGGCAAAGCAGTGTAAGAGTGGCTGATGAAAACAAACACTTTTAGAGTCAACATCAGGAAAAAAGCTGTCTTACCATGGCTGCAGCTGTGGCCTGGGCTGCCACTCCCGTCTGACTGACTTGTTGACTGGATTTGATTTTGGCCTGCAAGTGTGCAGGCGGGTGAAAATACTTGCACTTCTCCCTGGAGCACCGGCTCTTGATGAAGTCCATGCAAACAGTGACTGTGTTATCAGTGCTGTCAATCATCGGGCTGTCACTGGGGTGAGCAAAACGGCAATCTGTCTCCCCTCGCGCACAGTTTCCCCGCTGAAACTCACGACACACCTGAAACCGGAGCAATTATGAAGACGGTGAGAACAGTTGAACTTTTAGCCCATAGCCACAAAAACATTAYCATTTCTCAGTGAACATTTTAGTCTGTGAATACCTCTAATTTGTCTGGACGCTGTAGCTTCTGTGATGGAGAAGAGGAGGACGAAGAAGAGGAGGAGGAGGAGCACTGAACCGTGACAGCTGGGCTGCCAGGAACAAGAAGTGGGGGGCTAGAGAGGATGTCTGAGGGAATGAGACTCATTCCATGGCTCAAAGGTGTGATGTATGAACCATAACCAAGACTGGTATTAGTGCCCAGACCCTGCGTAACAGGAAACGTTGACTAAAGAGAGAGAAAGAACAGATTGCACTTGAGTCAAGTATTGTAAAGTATAGTACCATGGAAGGAAGTTCATCTGGAGCTGTTAGGACCTTACCACAGGCTGCAGACTGGGTCCAGGGATCATGAGCTGCATCTGCTGGGCGAGCACTGCCGCGGCCGTCTTCTGCTGAATCAGATTGTTGCGTCCGTTTATCTCTAACTGGGTTTTTAGGTGAGAAGGTGGATGAAGATACTTGCAGTTTTCTCTTGAGCATCTGCCCTGCRTTGAGAGAAAAACAGAGGAACTCAAATCCACCCTTTTATTCCTCGTCGTAAAATTTTACAGCCCTCCCTTGAAATGACTGATGATAAATAYAGACTCATAAGTAAAAGATGACAAAATCAAAACCTTTTTTAAATTTAAATACCAATTTTTTTTAGTTCATACAAAATTCACCCTCTCTGAGATCAATGTCTTTATTCACGAAATTATCAAAAATAACTTAATTGACAGCAAAATAGTTGTTTTTTTCCCCTATGCTTGTGATCCAAATCAAGGTTTTTTTTTTCTTTTCTACCAAGGCTTTACCAAAGTCAAAGTGTAGGTAGGTAAATACTCAACTGGCCTTGCATCATAATAGAGTCATGTTTTACTGCACTGGCATTGAACTAACTTTGAACATCAGCTTTTTAAAGGTAGGTGATGTGCCAGAGAATATTTCCATGTCAACATAATAGGAGGACAAGTCAGGCAGCAACCCACAAAGCTCCTTTTAAAGATACTGATGATGTATTATAAATCTCAGACTAATGCTTTAAGAATACTTGTAATTTGTTTAAAAATAYATATACAGTATATATTTTACATGTAACAGTTCACTTAACAYAATTTATGGATATTAAGCCCTGCAGTGATTAGTGCCTTACAAAACCTAAAGCAGGTCCAAAGCAGACCCATTTCAGCACTGTGCCCTACATGGACAAGAACATGCCAATAATCCAACAATGTTCCAATTGCAATCCAGAGATTGAGCTAAATGGATGGACACTTCGGTGCAATCAGCACAACAGACTGCACAAACACATGCACATTAAGAAACCCTTTCCATGAMCAATTCCATATCAAAACTTTAGGCAGAAAACACTCATAAATGTAAATTAATGATTTCTTTTTTTCTTAGTGCAGCAGCTGATGTCTACATGTCAGAGAACAGTTCTAAGTTCCACGGCTTATCTTACCTGCTCTGTGTTCCAAAACACCATTTTAGAAGACACCATAAACAGGTTTGGTTCACCTTTTCACTGTTTTAGTGTTTTTTTCCCTAACATTTAACAGTAATAACGAYATTAACAGCTTTGAGCCATGTTAGTAAAAGGTCATGAGATGCTAGTTAAAATACCAAAGCCCGAGCTCATTCTCCTTCAGTAGAACTAATTTGTGTAAATGAATTTCGACAGGCATTGCTCTGATTTTCTTGTTTACAAGCTCAAGCTTAACCAATCAWATGACACAACTATCAGCAAAACTGATAAATAAAAAAGGGGTGAAAATGTGAGGAAAAACWTTTCTTTAGCTAGCTTTTAGTCAGTCTGAGGCATAATTAGTAAAGGATATAGACACAAGAAACAGGCAACTTTCAGTTTATTCTCACAAGACTAAGCTGTCGAAATTAAACAAAGATTCAATGTTGGACAAAAATAATTTCTGGCTTTATCCCACTCTCTGCTTGAAATGTTYCAGCTTTATTTGTGGGGTGGTAACAGCTTAAGTTACCCTTTTGTGTTGTGTAAACAGCACGTGTGTAAATATACTATAGGTTTTAAGAAAAAAAAAAGCTTTTGTAATGTTTACATGTGTAAAGACACCAGGTGCAGTTTTCCTGTGGGAAGGCTGGTGTGAAGTCTGATGAAAACTGGAAAAACCAGAAACAGAAATAAACAACTGAATCTATTTTGCATTAAATAAAAAAATATATATTACTCTTCCAATTCTATAATACTACACTGAAAATAATCCTAATCTTCATAGTTTTTAAATTACAAGAAAAAAGATTTGAACACTTTGTTGCAAGGTTAGTTTAGATTAAATTGAACAAAGTGAATAAGCTCATATGTGTTGTTTTCTATAAAAATGAGGTAACTAGTTTGTTTTGTGCTTTCAGCATTTTGACCAACAGTACATGTTGAGCAAAGAGATAAGGCAGTGACATACTGTGGGAATAATCCAGACTTTAAAGCTGTATTGGGATGTGATGGTGAATGTGATGGAGTGGATTAAGGCCCATCCTGCACCACTGAGCAAAGAGGAGGATAAACTGGCTCTATTCCACTTTGGTTGTAAGGTTTCATTTAACTTGTCTAGATCAGATTATTGAATCTTTAAGGAGTATTTTGATGTACTTACACACACACACACACACACACACACACACACACACACAAAACGGCGCTGGTTTGGACTTTGTAAGCACTGGAGCGTTAATGGCTGTGAGACTGTAGATTCTCTGTAGTTTGCAGCATGAATGGATGTGAGGGCATCTTAATGCAACAGGGGACCTTATTAGACTGAATAAAGGACCTAAAGCAGATAGGGTTATTTTTTATAAGTGTTTAGTTTGTCAAACTTGTAGCTTCAAACATATTTGTTGAGAAGGGTCAACTAATTAGTCCCACGCTACCATGAGAGGAGTTTGGATAAAAAAAATCTAATAAAAATAAAAAAGATTASATTGCTTTTTAAACAACTTTAATTTCTCTTATCTTTATAGAACTGAACAAAAAGTCAAGGTTCACTCAAGCACATGTCACTTCAGTACGGAAATTTGTGTTTGTAGATCATTTCATTGTTGTAACAATGATTGTTTGCAATAAATCTCATACCGGGCACCTGACTGTCAGCACCTGGAGGTACCAGAAGCTCACAACAAGTGTCAATAGCAACAACAGAATAAGCTGTTTGGCAGAGAATATTTGGCGGCTATTTCACGTGTGCAACCCACACACTCAGCTGTACTGCTCATCCCACAAATGCATATTCCTTACAAATGTGGCACCACTTAAAAGAGAGATTAACAGGCTTTCCAACGGGATAAAATTTATTGCCAAGACGCATTGTTACAACAAAAAATAATCCATTAAACACAACTGTTCTTACTTTTAGTGCTAAGTGTATTTATGTTAGGCGTCTCCTACTGAGGCGTTTGATGGTTTTCCTTTTTTGAGTCAAAAACATATCTTACCTTCAGCGAGTCAAAGCAGGCAATAACTCTCCCATTTTCCACCTGGCAGCTTTTGGGTGGATGTGCAAACTTGCATTCCTTATCACTGCGGGAACAGTTTCCTCGCTGAAACTGGCGACAGACTTCCAAAGTCAGCCATTTTGTGTCTCTCACTGAAGACATACTCAACGCCATGTCAGAGAGGTTTTCAGTACTCAAAAAAATATTGAATGTGACACCTTACTGTCTGAAGAAATGCACACCAAAAACTGGAGTTTGATTACAAAAATAGTTATAATTAAATGAAGCCCAATCTTCTTTGAGAACTTAACTCCATCAGCTGGAGCAGAACATTGGTTTATTACCGAATGAAGTAATCAACAGATGTTTTTGTTTGTAGATTATTAAACTGAATGTGCCAAACAGGTCTAGAAACAAACTCTTTTTTTGTTTGCTTTAGTGAAACCTTCTCAGGTCATTCTTCACTGTTCTTTCTTTTTATGTTGTGGCTCAAATTCAACAATGTTTCAGGTGCTGAAAGTGAAACTGACACCAAAATGCTTTCAGCTGAGGTATCCCGTGTTAGTAGATGAGTATGTCTTTAGTAAGAGCACGTGTCAGATGGGACTATGGACCGATTTCACTTTGGAGTTGTCTTCTCGAAGGCACATCTACCGCTGACCTGGAAATAAAAACAACAACAAAAAATCAAATATATGCTGTAAATTTAATTCCTTCAATGCCTAGAAAATACAAGATCATATTTAACAATAAACAGGATCTTCAAGTCGGTCAGTTTATATAAAGGTTGTATCTTTTTTAGATGTGTACCTTTCCATTTCAAACTTGGTAATTGTCACATAAATGCTTTACAAAATTTTTCCACAAAACTGTTGTAATAAAATGTCCATAAAGATCTAAAAGAAAATAAAAATAGCAAATAAAAGAGAAAATACAACATATTTTATTTTAGCTATTGTCTGATTATGTGTAGTCATCAATAAACCAGATGAAGACTACTGACTCAGCTGTAGAAAAACAAACAGCACCAGTAGCACATTTCTGTCCTTTTCTAGATTTGTTCAATTTCTAAACTTTTTCARTCAAGACATAAATAACACTACCTTTAAACACAGAAGGTTATCATAAAACGAATAATGATCCATACCTTACAACACCTTCCTCTACCCCTTTTTTATAAGCATATAATGAGCTAAATTAATAGAAGAACCAGAGTAAAACTCGTAAAACTCAACACTATTTGCAATCTGTATGGAAGCAAAGTACAAAGTCATACACTCAAGAAATGTTTACCTCAATAAAAAGAGGTCTGTTTACCTTATTCTTCCATTAATCATCATAATTCTGAATGTATTTCAACTGACAGGTTGTATGCCAATTTGTAAATGCTGTCAACACACTTCACTCAAGTACTTTTCAAGCCGTTTCCTCAGTCAGCAAATATGTGTTTGTTACACGACGAGTCTTAAGCTTCAGCTGTGTTATTAGTTGGAATTTGCAGCCTGAGCRTGCCCTGGGAATCAATGATTCAATAACAATATGTGAATGTTTCCGAGTGTCAATCTATAGTTTATCCCAGTTTTCATAACATTTGCAGATATGTACTTTTCTCTGTCCACTAAAGCCTCTGCTCCAATTTTCCAGAGTTGTTAATAAGATTAATTGAACAACTGCTGAGATGTGCTGACTCAAACTCCAACAGACCACATGCAGAAAACAAGGACAGCAACAGCAACAAAAACTTCCACTCACTATGTTTGGATTAAAACAGGAAGCGGAGAGACAAACCTGCTCAGGAAGCTGCTGAGCAGGGTAAAAAAAAAACATGTAGCTCACTAGCTGTATAAATCTGTTCAAGAGGTGAAATGTTTCTTCACTGAGAGCAACTACCAGGATCAGCAAATACGAAACACAAACAGCAGAGATGTAAAAAAAAAAAAAAAAGAGATAGTTTTTCCTCTTCCACCTTTGGGCAACAGTCCATGCAGCACCACAGCACACTGCAGCAAATTCCTTTAGGCACAAGACAGGAAGCAGAGCACAAAAACCAGTCTCTCTCACATCATGCAGCACCAAACTTCTGCCGATGGCCTGAGAACGTTGGCTTGACGTCCAGTTTTCCAGATGCTTGCTTGTTATGGTCGTAACAACACTTACTCCTCTTTCTGCCCCATGGATCCGGAGACCAGATACGCTCTCTTCCGAACAGTAACAACAGACTGCCAAGCTGTGGCTAAAACATTTCCAGCCACCCCCTTCCTGTCTGAGTGCTTGCTCCTGGAAAAACCCTCCCAGTCAGAAACTGTCCAATGGGAACCCGGCAGCAGAAGCACAATAGGGAAAACTTCCTGCCAACATTCATGTCAAATTARTTTAGATTACTTAGAGAAGGTGGAATCAATACTTATTATAAGCTACTAATGAAACTGTTCAAATACAGACAACAGAATATGGAGSTTTTAAGTGAAATTTCTAAACATTTAGAGTTAATTATTGCACATTTAAAGCTCTGTAACCAACTCTAGACAACTCTAATAAGGGGCAAAGTTTTGCCTTTGTGTTTATCTTTATTGTCAGCAAAATATCTCATAGGCCAGTGGGGGGATTTTAATGATATCAATGAGTAATGTAATGATTTTATTTTTAGTATAGATTGTTGTAACGATGTCCTTACAGGCACAAAATAATAATTATAATAATAAAAAGATGAGGGAGCTGAAGCTTATTCAAAATGCTGCAGACAGAGTTCTGACCAAAACTAGGAAAATGATATTACACGTCCTTAAATCACTGCACTGACTTCCTGTTTGTAAATTAATATATTTTAAATTTGGACTTTTTGTCTGTAGGCCATTGAAAGTCCTTGAATATCTGAATTACATGCTTAGTATAGACCCCTCAGGACATCAGGGACAGGTTTCCTCAGTACTCCCAGGACCAGAACCAATTAAGAAGAAGGAACTTTTAGGTTATGTGGCTCTAAACTCAGGAACCAATTTCCTGAAAACCTGAGATGTGCCTTAATTTAAATCTGGGCTGGAAAAAAAAAGTTATTTACAGCAATTTCTCCATAAAAATTTTGTTCTTATTGTTAGAAATTTTTAGTCGTTTCTTTTAATGCAACGTCTACATTTTTGTGCTATTTCTTTAAAATGTATTATTTTCTTTATTGCACATCTGTAAAGCACTTTCTGTAAACAAACTTCACTTATTTAGTAAAAAAAAAAAAAGGTTATGAATTTACACACCACACTTATAAATACAGATAGTCATATYGTGATATCGTCATATCATAACGTTTTGATTGTCAGAAAATGTTAGCTCATGGTTTGCAAGTCATCTACATGACACTGGCTTGCATCGCACGTTTCAGCACGGATTGATAAGTACTTGAAGAAAAGCACTGATTTTTACGTCTTTACCATGGATTCTGCCCTCTGTCACTACTTAGCTGCGAGCTAAAAACAACACTTTCATTATAAAACATTACGGGGCACACTGAGGCTAATRTTTATTAGCTTAGGTTAGCGTTAAGGAAAAGAACTGCTTACCTCATCGTCAGGTCAGGAGGCTCCGGTTTATCACGCAGCAGCTGGGAGGAGGACACGTACCGTACGACACGGCGACCGAACTAACGAAACAAAATGCCAAGTGGTCCCTAAATGTCCCCTCCACTACTCGTCCGAGTCTCGTCCTCTTCGATGACCTAACTCGTCACTTTTTCAGGGCAGCAAAGATTTAAGCAACAAGCTTTTTTGACAGCTTACTGTACGACCGTCATTTTAATGTGCTGACGTACTTTCGCGGGGGTGCGCCAAAAAGCAAATGACGAAAATTAACCTTATACACTAACTTTAAAACTTATAAAACTTGCCACTCTGTTGTAAAATAAAGTTTACATTCATGAGTTTGATTTTGAGTCCCATTTATAATCAAAACAATGCTATATTATTTGAGGTGTTTACTGTAACCACCCCCCCACTACAACCACAAAGTGGTACGGTCCACACGACTGCCAGCAAGCTAAAAGGGCGAGGGTTTGCTTGTCACCAAGGTAACAGCAAATCAAACCACGTGGTTTTTTAAGATTAGTTTGTGTAAACACACYTTCACGCTCATATAAACACCTCATTACGGGACTGTAGCATTGTGAGAAAAAGACAAGTMGAAATATCCAAATATTTCACAAGGACAAGCGTGACCTTTAGTGACTGTGTCTGATTGTTAAAACAAGAAAACAAATGTGATGCTTGATGCAGTGATAACTAGGTACTATTCTAAAACATCTGATTTGTGCTGTTAGCATCAGTGGTKAAATCATTAAATGTAGCATGTAGCATAGCAGGATGCTCAAGGTCAAATAACATGGATGCTAACCCAGATGTGATCATCCAGGGAGGAAGCAGAGGGATGCAGGGGAGGGAGTTTTGATCATRTCAGGTGTAGAGATTAGCAAACAGCAGCTTTTGTTATTTATGTAGCTATAATTATATATTGATCAACAAATTGATAGTTTGGATTTGGATAATTTCAGGCTTTGGTACTAATAAAAGTTTTGTGGATTCTACCTCACTCTATTTCTACTTTATTTTGTTTTTATTATTATACATACTTTTCTTTTTTATATGCCTAACATATTTTACTTTGTTTAATCTAGCATTTCCAACTTTACATTAGTTCATCAAGCTGTTTCGTGTGTTAATATGCATTGTAATTTCGTTCTACAGTACATCCCTGATGTTATGTTTGAATGACAATAAAGAAAATCTAATACTCTTACTCAAAAAGTTCTTGTTCTGACATAATTTTTTTATTAACTTTGTAAACATTTTGTCACTTGTCATAAATCAAAACAGTCAGGACTATTTTATTTTTGCCCTTTCTGTTTCTGTGGTCCTCTCAGGGGCCACAGAGGAGCTTTATCTGATCTGTCACGCTGACAGATTTCAAACTGGAAACGTGGCACTGAGTGCCACAAGGAAAGGTCAGCGTATTGCTCTCTTTGAGGAAAATGCCACTGTCAAATTGAATCAGATAGAAAAACAAAGAGAACGCAGCAGCCTGCGCTTTCATTACTTTGACCTTAACACATATTTTTGTTTACCTGTAAGTCATTTATCGAGTTGATTTTGCAGCATTACACATATGTGTGGCTTTCATAMATTATTTTTTTAGCGTTTGAGTTAAACAGTGAATTAAATATT